AAATATCCATTCAGTTCATGTAAGATGAATAAGAAATGAAAGGGTATAATGCTGAGAAGCATACCTTGAAATCAACAATCCATTTCTTGATGACGTTATCTGGTCCGATCAAAACAAATCTAAATAACCCACTTTGCATCATAGGCATTGTCACCTTTATTGTATCATTTTGTCAAGTGCATATCTTGTCTTGGTAAAGGTAATAAAAAAAGAAAAAAGGAAAGCGGGGAAAAAAATGAAGAAATTATTTCAAATAAAATTAAGCTTAATTTAAAATTATTGTAAGTTTGCTACTAATTATTAATTAACTTAAAATGAATTAGTAAAAAATTTCAATAGCTTGTTTGGAGAGATGGGGAAATTTCATCAAAAATTTTTCGCTACACAGAATTACTGCTGCTGCACCATCTGATGTTGGACTGGAAAAAAAAACGATTAAATTTAATGTTTTGTTTAAAAATTATTTCTTCTGAAAAAAACGAAACCTTTTCTTTTATCATTTTATCATTTCTCTTTTTTTTTTCAAAATGCAAAGTATAACAATATTATAAACATTACAAAATGGCACTACAATAACATATCATTTTCTTTTTCACAATGACTATTACTTTTATTAATTCAATCATCGTTTAAGCTACCTGCATTCCAGAAGACCCATAAAATCGTGAATTACACGTGCACTCAGAATCTCGTTCAAGCTATATTCCTTTTGAAATTGTGAATTTCTGTAAAAAAAGAGGAAAAAGAAAAAAAGCAACGATAGATGTTGTAAATAACAGATGAAGATGACCTTTAATAATGAATTTTTTTATGGCAATAAAATTAGTGATTTAATTTGAAATTATTTATTCTGTCTGTTGGAAGGAAACTTTTGGCAGCAAAGGATTGATAGCAAAACGACAAGAGAGTTGAGCTTATTTGAATGATACAAATGATATTCTTATAGGTTCTGATAATTTTCGCATTTCCTTTACTCTAAGCTGAAATATTAATAAGTATAAGCCAACACTTTTAAAAAACATTTCACTCATTCCTGATTCTTCGCCATTTCTGAGTTTTTTTTTCTTTTTTGGCTCGTTACAACGTTCGTACAACATGTGAGAATTTCTATTT